TGAAAGGCAGGCGCCAGTGACTCTTTGGTTTCCAGGCTGGAGGCATTTGTAGAGAGGCAGCACTTCATTTTCAAATTGGGAGGTGGAAGAGGTCATAGCAGGATGACATTGAAGGGACTTCCTTCCTGCAGTCTATGGAGAGGACCCCAGACCCTAGAGCGGCTAAAAAGACAACCTCCTACCCTGGGTTGTATGCGGTTCTCCATTCCATGGGTCCTATTATATTTCCCCGGTGATCACAGATGGTGTCTGCATACTCTCCCTGCTCCCTGTAAGCCCAGGAATTCCTTACTCCCGCCACACCATCTGGAATGCCTTCCTGGCTACTGGGACTGCCTTTGGTCTTAAATGGCATCATGACATTGGAATTGCTTTCTAATCTGGGGGTGGATGTGAGTGGAAAGTAAGGTAAGCCAAACCAAGCAAAGAAGCACAAGTTAGAAATGAACCCTAAGTGATGCCTAATTGCTCAAGCAAGACCTGGGTGGATATGGTCCAGCTTGGTATGGCCTGGGGCTGAGTGGGCCACTTCTGCACAGGTCTTCCCTCTGCCTGTGTCTCCCACAGCTCTCGCTCCCTGTTGCCCTACAAGGTCCCTGGTCTGTGCCTCCACGCTACCTCCACAGCCCTCATAGGTTGAGCAGCTTAGCCACAGGCACCTAGGGAAGACTCTCCACCAACGTCTGAACAGCTGCTGGTATTGAAGGTGGCTTCCCTTCCACCCTTCAACTTACCAGCTTCTCACAGCCCTTACACAGGGCTCCAGAAGTGGGGTGGGCAGCTCATACCTTGATTTCCCACTCCCTTTCCACTCTCAGGCCTCCTCCTTCACCCTAGGGGAGCTGAGAGAACAGAGAGGAGGGATGGTCCCTGGAGAAGACCTCCCAGTGGGGCAGAGGTTGTCTGCTGGCCTGAAATTTGGGAAGTAGTGGGGACAGGCAGTGGGGCTGTCAGGAGGGAAGTTTCTGTGTTTTGCCCTCTCTTTTTAAAAAATGTACTTGGGACACTGGGAGAAATGGGAGGAAGGGTGCAGACAGGAAAGGGGGGTTGGAAACAACCCAAAACGCAGCAACTGTCCATCTGCTTGCTGCATTCCTAATGTGGGACTCATTCTTGTCTGCTCCCCGTAGCAAAGGAAAGAGGAGGGGCACTGCTGGCAGCCTCAAAGACTCCAGATAGACCAGCGGTTCTCAACCTGTGGGTCGAGACACCTTTGGCGGTCGAACAACCCTTTCACAGGGGTCGCCTAAGACCATCCTGCATATCAGATATTTACATTACGATTCATAACAGTAGCAACATTACAGTTATTAAGTAGCAACGAAAATAATTTTATGGTTGGGTCACAACATGAGGAACTGTATTTAAAGGGCCAGAAGGTTGAGAACCACTGAGAAAGACTATTTAGACCTGGGCCTTTGGGGTGGAGAGGGAGGTTGGGGAGGGTCTTGGTTGCAATGGCCCTAAGAAACCTGCACAAATTTGACTTGTTACACAGAACCCAGGGACTTTTAAGAGCCCCCCCACCCCCACCCGCCAATTGACCTACATTTCCCTGGCAGGGATGGTCAACCCCAAACAGGTCCCCTCCTGTTCTACAATGACTTTGGCATACAAACACCAATGTAGTTGTAAAAGAGTTAACATTCTGTAAACAACCCTGGTTGAATTAGCAGGTTAGTCTCATGGGTTCAGATCAGTCTTGGGAGCAAGCCCTGCCTTTGCCTCTACCGCTGTGGTGTGAAAGCAGCCCTAAGTCTGAGTATGGCTGTCTTCCAATCAAACATTATGTAGCAACACTTAAATTTGAATTTCAGGTGATTTTCAGGTGTCGCGAAATACTAACCATCCTTTTCTTGACTGTTCTTTTAAAAATTATTATTAATATGAAATTATTATTATCATGAAATCTATCCTCTTAACAAATTTTAAACGTACCATACATTATTGTCCACTGTAAGTCTTTCCTTTTTTTTTTTTAACACTTTAAAAAATGTAAAAGCTATTCTTAGTTCTCAAGCCATACAGAAATGGATGGTGGGCCAGAATTGGCCCGTGGGCCGTAGTTTGCCAGCCTCTGGTCTAGAAAACTCGGTCCAGGGCAGCCAGCTTGGAAGATTCTGTTTCAGCGTTAGCTGCCAAGGAGCAAGGACAATAAAATCTGTGTCTGTGAACCCGAGAGCTCCTAGAGAGGAATCCCTAATCATTTCTGTTCTTTCTCACTCTGTCAATGAAGCCCCTCCTTTTCTAGTTCCACATGAAAAGAGTCAATGAAGTTTCACTTTGTATTGTGTAAGAGTGCAGTAGAAGTGTACCAGCAATTCTGTGACAGGCAGAGCAGTGCCAAAAGGAGACGCTGGGAACCAACAGCCTTGGAGCTGTTCAGGGCAGAGTCCGGTCCTACCATTTCACAGAATGCAGTTCCCCAGTCTGCCATGGTGCTCACTGAGGCAGGCAGACGGGTCCTTGCTCAGGAAGGAGACGAGCATTTGGTCTTCATACCTCTGCCTGCTCTTCAGGAAGGTATAGAACTGGAGAAATCCTCTTGTATGCTCAATCCCATCTCCTCTGCTCCCTGCAGGCACCAGTGGTTTCCAACATGGCACCATGAGCCTTGAGTTCCTTTTGGGTGCACATATCCTGACTTCAACACCTTGATTCCCTTTCCTTTTCCTTCAAGAAGATAAGGCCATCTGTCGCTGTTCAAAAAGCAGATTTGAAATGGAAATCTTCCTTTACCTTTTCTACCATGACCTGTTGGCTCCTCATCTTCCACTGGTGTGAGAGGCTGGCATCCTCCAAGCACACCCTCTCAGCTGGGCCGCACCTTGAGCAGATTTGCATTACTGGGTTCAGCTCCACGTTACTAGGAGTCTTTTTGGAAATGGTTGGCTGGTCGCCACTGAGCTGCTTGAATTTCCATCAATGACGTACCTGTGCAGAGAATCCCAGCTGATAGGAGGGAGGGATTGGGCCCGTGAGCGCCTGGGGCTTGAGCTTCCTGCCAACCCCTTAGATGCTCTTCCACATGGACAAACAGGTGTTCTTGTGGGCAGGAGCCTCATTATCTCAGGTTAGTTTGTTTCTTTAAGGTTGTTCTTGTCAAGCCCAGAACAACTCAACAGCCACCCCCCATTTTTAAAAAAAGCTCTTAAGACCATCTTTACCATCTTTACATTCAGCAACACTGAGCAAATAGTTCTCTGAAGCCACCGACTGCTTAAAGCTTCTGGATCTCGGCTCATGCTGTTCCAGGCTGTTCCCTCTACCTAGAATGCATCACTTCACAAAGAAAGCCTTCCCTTACCCCGCCCCTGTCAGCAGAGCTAAATGCCCTTCCTCTCTGCTCTCTCTACACAGCTGATCTTGCATTTCTCCCATACCTAGCACAAGCCCTTCATCGGCCACATTACAAGGTAAAACCCACCATAAGCTAATCATAGCTGGCTTAAAGCTGGACAAAAAAGGCAACAGTGATTAAGAAGAGCACTTACAATGTGGTTTTACAGCCTCTAGCCTTAATGATGAACTTTCCTAAAGGTGTACAGCAGGCCTTTAAAAAGTAGCCTCTGTGGAAGACAGTATGGCGTTTCCTCAAAAAGTTAAAAGTGGAACTTCCATTTGACCCAGTAATCCCACTTCTAGGAATATATCTCAAGAAAACAGAAACACCAATAAAAAAGGATATATGCACCCCTATGTTCATAGCAGCACAATTTACCATAGCTAAGATTTGGAAACAGCCTAAGTGCCCATCAGCCGATGAGTGGATTAGAAAACTGTGGTTACATCTACACAATGGAATACTATGCTGCTGTAAAAAAAGAAGGAATTCTTACCATTTGCAACAGCATGGATGGAACTGGAGAGCATTATGCTAAGCGAAATAAGCCAGTCAGAGTAAGACATATACCACATGATCCCACTCATGTGGAATATAATGAACAACATAAACTGATGAACAAAAATAGATCCAGAGTCATAGAAGCATGGAACAGACTGTCCAACCTATGAGAAGGGTAAGACATCAACCAAAGGACTTGTATGCATGCATATAAGCATAATAAAAGGACACAGACACTAGGAGCGTGAGTGAGAACATGTGCTGGGGCGTGGGGGTGGCCTGGGAGAGGTCAATGGAGGAAAAAGGAGACTTATGTAATACTTTAAACAATAAAGAATTTAAATTAAAAAAAATTATAATCTCAAAAAATGTTGAAAATTAAAAAAGACATGGGGGGCCCTGACCAGTTTGGTTCAGTGGATAGAGCGTTGGCCTGCAGACTAAGGGGTCCCTGGTTCGATTCCGGTCAAGGGCATGTACCTTGATTGCAGGCACATCCCCAGTAGGAGGCGTGCAAGAGGCAGCTGATTGATGTTTCTCTCTCATCGATGTTTCTAATTATCCCTCTCCCTTCCTCTCTGTAAAAAATCAATAAAATATTTTTTTAAAAAAAGACATGGGGGCTGCTGGGTAGAGGTGGGAAACGGGGGGGGGGGGGGGGGAACATCTGTAATAGTGTCAACAATAAATAAGACATTGAAGCTTGAAAAAAAAAGTAGCCTCAGATAGTTTGAGGCCACTACGATTTGTATAACATTTAAAACTTTTGCTTCCAGGCCATGTTAGTTGTAATGTGTTAGCAGATACAAAAATAACTCGAATTATTGATTAATAAATCATTTTAAAATATGTACGTATCTCATTATTACGAGATCTTAATGTTTGTGGCTGTCTTGTAATGAAGTATTAATATATATAGACCATTGAGAATAGTGCATGGCATGTCATAAGCAGTCAGTAAGTGTTAATCACTTTTAAATGGACAGACAAAAATTTAGGTTTTTTTTATACACACACACATATGATCCATACAGAACATTTTTTTCCACTGAGGTATGAACATTAAAAAACATTTTGATGTTCTGTACTGTAATTTCCTGGAGGGGCAGAAAGCACATCTTAACTATCTTTTATTTTCCTAAGCATATAGCAAGGTGCTGGGCTTACAGAAAGCATTGAAAACACACTGAACTGAACTTGACCCTGAGCTTGCCACAGTGTGTGAGCCGGCCTCGGCCTGGTAAGTTTATATGGAAGGTGAATAGGTCATAAACAGAGGACAGCTTTAGAAGTGAAAAGGTGTAAAACTGACAGACTGCTGCTGTGGGGGGCCTGGGACAGGAGCTCAGTGGGCATTCTTGCTTTCTGTGGGCAGCAGCGGAAAACTGGCCTCAGGCCGGCCTTTGCACCCGTGAGGGAAGGTCCTCCTCTCTTTCTGTTTCCCCAGGGACCCTGCATTCGGCCTGCCCAGCCTGGAGCAGCCGGCTGCTCTCCTCACCTCCTGCCTCTGGGCATTCCTACGGAAAGAAGGTTGTTGGGCTGTAAAAAAAAAAGATCTTTTCCATTTAGCTCAGTTGTAACAACATAACAACTGAGACTTTTGTTTTCTTTCTTTTTTAATGCTTCCTTCCACTTATTTTTTTAAAAAATATACTTTATTGATTTTTTTTACAGAGAAGAAGGGAGAGGGATAGAGAGTTAGAAACATCGATGAGAGAGAAACATCGATCAGCTGCCTCCTGCACACCCGCTACTGGGGATGTGCCCGCAACCAAGTTACATGCCCTTGACCGGAATCGAACCTGGGACCCTTGAATCCGCAGGCTGACGCTCTAACCACTGAGCAAAACCGGTCAGGGCTCCACTTATTTTTATTAATACTTTTTCACAGATGTTACCAATTTTGTATTTGGTATTCTGTACACCCTAGCTTAATTTTTTAAAAAAATTAAAAACATTTTGACCCCTTTTACTCATTTCTTTCACCCCCACTCCCACCTCTGGCAATTACAAATCTATTCTCTGCATCTGTAAACATGTTTTTTTTTTAAAAAAAAATTAGATTATATATATAAGAGAGATCATAGGTATTTGTCTTTCTCTGTCTGACTTATTTCACTTAGCATAATGCCTTTGAGGTCTATTCATGTCACAAATGACAAGATTTCATTCATTTTTATGGGTGAATAATAATCCATTGAATATATATACACCATAATTTCTTTTTATATTATTTATTTTAGATAGGGAGGAGGGGAGAGAGAGAGAGAGATAAACATCGATTTGTTGTTCTACTTGTTTTTTTTAAAAATATATTTTATCGATTTTTTACAGAGAGGAAGGGAGAGAGATAGAGAGTCAGAAACATCGATGGGAGAGAAACATCGATCAGCTGCCTCCTGCACATCTCCCACTGGGGACGTGCCTGCAACCCAGGCACATGCCCTTGACGGGATCGAACCTGGGACCCTTCAGTCCGCAGGCCGACGCTCTATCCACTGAGCCAAACCGGTTTCGGCTGTTCTACTTATTTATGCACTCATTGGTTGATTCTTGTATGAGGCTATTGTAAGTAGAATTATTTTCTCAATTTCCTTTTCTTTTTTTAAAATATATTTTATTGATTTTTTACAGAGAGGAAGGGAGAGGGATAGAGAGTTAGAAACATCGGATGAGAGAGAAACATCGATCAGCTGCCTCCTGCACACCTCCTACTGGGGATGTGCCCGCAACCAAGGTACATGCCCTTGACTGGAATTGAACCTGGGACCCCTCAGTCCACAGGCTGACGCTCTATCCACTAAGCCAAACTGGCTAGGGCTCAATTTCCTTTTCTGATTGTTCAGTGGCAGTATATAGAAACACAACTGATTTTTTATTTTCTATCCTACCACTTTGCTGAATTTGTTTATTAGCACTAATAATTTTTCTGTGAATTCTTTAGGGTTTTAGAGATAGTTTTGCTTTTCCACTTTGGATACCTTTTATTTCTTCTTCTTCTTTTTAAAATCTAATTGTTCTGTCTAGGACTTCTAATATGTTGAATAGAAGTGGCAAAAGTGGGCATTCTTGTCTTGTTCCTGATCTTAGGGGGAAAGCTTTCAGTCTTTTGCCATTGAGTATGATGTTTTTCAGACAAAGCCTTTATCATGTTGAGGAAGTTCCCTTCTATATCTAGTTTATTGACTTTTTATTATGAAAAGGTATTGGATGTTTTCAACATTAAATATTTTCTGCATCAGTTGAGATGATCATGTGGTTTCTCCCCTTCATTCTATTAATATCACATATTACATTGATTTCATATGTTGCATTCCTAGGACAAATATCACTTGGACATACTGTATAATCCTTTTAATATGCTGCTGAATTCGGTTTGCTACTATTTTGTTGAGGATTTTTTGCATCTATAGTCACAAGGGACATTAATCTATAGTTTCTTTCCTTGTAGTATTTTTATCTGGCATTAATATCAGGGCAATGCTGGCCTCATAGGATGAGTTTTTTTTGAAGAGTTTGGGAAGAATTGGGATTAATTATTCTTTTTTTAAGAAAATCCTCACCTGAGGATATTTTCCCATTGATTTTTAGAGAGAGTGGAAGAGAGAGGGAAAGACAGAGAGAAATATCGATGTGAGAGAAACACATTGATTGGTTGCCTCCTGCATGAGCCCGGACTAGGGCCTGGGCCGGGGATGAGCCTGCAATGGAGGTAAGCGCCCTTGACTGGAATCGAACCCAGGAACCTTCAGTTTGCAGGACGACACTCTACCCACTGAGCCAAACCGGCTAGGGCAGGCTGAATTCTTCTTTAAAGTTTGGTAGAATTCACCAGTGGAGCCATGTGGGTTTTTTCTTTGTTGGGAGGTTTTGATTACTGATTTAATTTCTTTACTTGTTATAGATCTATTACAATTTTCTATTTCTTTTTGAGTCAGTTTAGGTAGAAATTTATATTTCTAGGGATTTGCCCAGGTAATGTAGATTATCCATTTGGTTGGTGTAGAATAGTTTATATTATTTTTTTACACTCCTTTAAAAAAATCTTTATTGTTGAAAGTTTTACCTATGTCCATCCTCTTTTTCCTCCATGGACCCCTTATAGCCCACCCCTGTATAATCCTTTTTATCTCTGTAAAGTTGGTAATTATTTCCTTTCTTTTATTTCTCCTTTTAGTAATTTGAGTCTTTTGTTTTCTCTTAGTCAAGGTGCAAGCACTTTCATTGCATTACTTTGGGAGGCATGTAGAGTCCGGCTGTCTCTCTTTTGGTGATATTAAAATTGATCAGTGCGGTTTGGGTGTTGTCAGCCTGCTCCACTCATCATAAAACTCTCTTTTAGCTTTCTCCTAATGGTTTCCGTAGCTTTTGATGATCATTGCCACATCTATTATTTCATAGGGGGATGCTAAAGTTTTAAAGAACATGTTTTAATGAACTCAGATATGCCAAGACAGAGTGAAAGATGTATTTTCAATATCCAGCTTCCTGGTTCTGAAGATTGGTCTGATAGAAAGGAAAAACATCCAATAGCCAAGAGCATGGAGACCAGCACGTTGCTAAGATCTTAGGCAAACCACTTGGCTCTTTAAGCTTCAATCTACAAAAGTAGAGCACTGGGCGAGATGACCTCTCACAGCACCTCACAGCTCTGACTCTCCAGAGGTCCATTATATTAATTCAGCATGTAATCACAGTGCTGACTGGTCAGCCTAGCTTTCAAGACACCTAAAGTCCCCCCGCCCCTCGTTTTACCAAAAATGTCCTTTGTTTTAAGGTTTCATGCAAGAATTCTGGTCCAATTCATCGCACTTCAGTGGTGATACTGATCATGGGACATCACCCCAGACAAGCTGCTCAAAGGGACCATCCATCTCCCCAGTGGAAAGGCTCATGCCCCCAAACACTGCCCATACTTCGGCTGTGCAAAAGGAAATATCTCCTATTCTCCCAAGAGCACCTAGTGTCCTCACACTCTGTCTGCCTTGGGCAAACTCTTCTCAGGAAAGGGTCTTGTAAATTCATCCATCCTAAGGTGTAATCGACGGAGACATTCCATTTCAGAGGTCCTTTCATTTGAATAAGAAATAAAAATTTCAGGAAAAGCCATGAATGTATAATTGTGGAATTTTAAGGATAATTTTTTTGTTTTGTTAATCCTCACCCGAGGACATTTTTTCCATTGCTTATCAGAGAGAGAGTGGAAAGGAGGGGGAGAAGAGAGAAAGAGAGAGAGAGAGAGAGAGAGAGAGAGAGAGAGAGAGAGAGAAACATAGATGTGAGAGACACATCGATTGGTTGCTTCTCATATGCACCCCAACCAGGGGTGGGGCGTGAACCTGCAACCCAGGTATGTGCCCTTGACCAGGAATTAAACCTCAGACCCTTTGATGTGTGGACTGGTGCTCTAACCACTGAGAACACTGGCCAGGGCAAGGATAATTTTTTTTCTTGGAGGAAAACATCTTTCTATCTCCCTTAAATCATATGCTACATCATCCTTAAAACAGCATGCCTGACAATGGTCCTAAGAGCATTTTTAAAAAATGATTTAAACATCCTTTTTTAAAATATATTTTTTTATTGATTTTAGAGAGGAAGGGAGAGAGAGAGAGAGATAGAAACATCAATGATGAGAAAAAATCATTGATCGGCTGCCTCCTGCATGACCCCCATTGGTGATTGAGCCCTCAACTCGGTCATGTACCCTAGACTGGAATTGAACGGGGGACCCTTCAGTCCGCAGGCTGATGCTCTATCCACTGACCCAAACCAGCTAGGGCAGTGGTTCTCAACCTTCTGGCCCTTTAAATACAGTTCCTCATGTTGTGACCCAACCATAAAATTATTTTCGTTGCTACTTCATAACTGTAATGTTGCTACTGTTATGAATCGTAATGTAAATATCTGATATGCAGGATGGTCTTAGGCGACCCCTGTGAAAGGGTCGTTCGACCGCCAAAGGGGTCTCGACCCACAGGTTGAGAACCGCTGAACTAGGGCAAGAGCATTTCTTTTTAGAAAATTAAATTTATTGGAGTAACTGGTTAATAACATTAGGTAAGTTTCAGGTACAATTTTATAATACATTATCTGTATATTCCATTGTGTGCTCGCCATCCAAAGTTTCCTTCCTTCACTACATGTATTTGACCCCCTTTGCCCTCTCCCACTCCTACCCCCTCTTCCCTCTGGCAACCATCATACTATTGTCTGTGTCTATGAGTTTGTCTTGTAACCACACTTCTCAATCCATTGTTCTTTCTGGTCTTCTACAGCCTCTTGGAAGCTGTTGGAGGGAAAACTCCCCTCCAATGTCTCCAGAGACGCTCCACACAGTCCAGTTAGGCTGTTGAACCAGGTGAGAAAGCTCCCCTAGGAGGAGGTGATAGTGGATGAGGGTCCTGACTAGGGGCAAGTCAAGTGGGGAAAGAGGGTGTTGTGCAAGGAAGTCTGTGGTGGAAGAGCTAGCCTCCGGAATGAGGAGGTATTATCAACGTCCAAATGAGAAGTGAGGGGCAAATATAATGAGTATCAAGCCTGTGAGTTTGCATTAATGAAGGTAAAGCATCCAGGACTGAGGCTACGAATGGTAAGTGCCAGTGGCCCCTTTTCCGAGGTGCCTGGCATGTTAAACAAGGCAGGCCAGGCAGCTTAAAGGAGCCGCACCAATCTGGCATCCCTACACTTTTGTGTATGCCAATCCTCCCATCTGGGAGGCCATTTTTTTCTTTTCTATGCCTTTCCAAGTCCTGATCACTTGTTAACACTTAACTTCGACCTCAGTTGGAAGTGATTTCTTCTTCTTCAGAACCCGGCTGTCACGGATGCTCACTTCCCTCCTCTGTCCTTGTCATCTGGTGGTGGTTTTTCTTTTCTTTTTTAATCCTCACCTGAGGATATTTTTCCATTGATTTTTAGAGAGAGAGTGGAAGAGAGAGGAAAATAAATATCAATGTGAGAGAAACACATCGATTGGTTGCCTCCTGCATGGGCCCTGACCAGGGCCTGGGCCAGGGAGGAGCCTGCAAAGGAGGTACGTGCCCTTGGCCAGAATGGAACCCGGGACCCTTCGGTCCGCAGGCCGATGCTTTATCCACTGAGGCAAACTGGCTAGGGCTGGCAGTGATTTTACTGTGTTGAAGTCTTGCCTTCTAGAGTGGAATCTGTTTGAAGGTAGCAATCATGCCCGATGACTCTTGCTATCGCCCAGCACCTGGCCCGGTGCCGTGCACATGATTGTGTGCAATGAGTGCTGACTGATGAATGAGTAATTGATGCAATAGGGCAGGCATTCTTTCTCAGCCGTCTTCTTCCAAAAAAAGGACTTGCTAGAGGAGTTTCCCTGGGATAAATGACAGTGAACATGGAGAACTCACTGGCCAGTGACTTATTCCCTCTGAGCAAACGGGGCTGGTGCTGTGTTTAATTTAGGCTGCTCTGCCTTTCATGCTTTAAAAGGACTTTCCCACGACGGACTCAGGACCTGAAGTTCTGTGCCATTAGCACCACCACTGAGAGATGAGTGGTGAGAGATGCAGCCAACAGTGCCGGCCTCTGACCTGGTTCCGCTCCATGCTTTTTGCAGCCAGGCGGTTTAGCGTTTCATTTCCAGCTCAACACATGGAGCGTGCCCAAATGGGGCACTCACTGGGCTTTGGTGCGGGGTGTGGGCTTGCATCTCTGAGTGGGTGGTCTTGGGCTGGGTATACATGTCTATGCATATGAATGTGATGACTCTCTTAGGGGGAGAGGGGTACATCTGAGTTCTGAGTTTGTCGATTTGCGTGGATGCATCTCTGAGTCTGTGTGATTGATGGTGGGATGTTCTTATCAGCCCATTTATGTGTTGTGTGGCTGTTACACTTATGCCCATCTGTGTGTGTGACTATATGTGAGAGTGCTCCCATCTGAGTTTCTGCCTTGCTGGGTGTGTACATCGGTGTGTCTCAGCTTCGAGTGTGTACAAGTATGGCCATCCAAAGCGGCTCTCAGCTGGTGCCTAAGACCCTAACCTTGACCACATGAAACAGATTCCAATTGGTTCATTAGCAACTCCTTCTCCTTTTTGTTGTTGTTGTTGTTAATTCTCACCCAAGGATATTTTTCCATTGATTTTTATTTATTTATTAAATATATTTTTTTATTGATTTCAGAGAAGAAGGGAGAGGGAGAGAGAGATAGAAATGTCAATGATGAGAGAGAATCAAGGATCGGCTGCCTCCTGCACGCCCCCAACTGGGGATCGAGCTCACAACTCAGGTATGTGCCCGTGACTGGAATTGAACTTGGGACCCTTCACTCTGCAGGCCAACGCTTTAGCCACTGAGCCAAACCAGCTAGGGCTTCCATTGATTTTAGAAAGAGTGGAAGGGAGGGGAGAGACAGAGAGAGAGGAGAAACATTTGATATGAGTGAGACACATCGATTGGTTGCCTCCTGCATGGGCCCTGACCAGGGCCTGGGCCAGGGAGGAGCCTGCAAAGGAGGTACGTGCCCTTGGCCAGAATGGAACCCGGGACCCTTCGGTCCGCAGGCCGATGCTTTATCCACTCCCCCCTTCCCTTCGTCCCCCCTCCCCCCACCAGACAGGACTCTGCCTTCATAATGCCATGTCTTCTTGGTACTCTGTGGTCCTGATAGGGCCTGGGAGCCACAGGAGCCTTTGGCCTTGAGTGTCCATGGCATCCTGTGGAATATTTGAATGGGATCTAGATGCCCAAAAGAGAAGACCTTGTTATTTTTATTTATTTATTTTCTTATTAAAAGAAGAGCTTTTTAGAAATTCAGGGCTGCCTTCCACTCCCTCTCCTTCCCAAAAGAGAACTGACATTCCCAACACTGTTTACATTCTTTTCCTCCTTGCCTCCCTGCTCCCCACCCTTTTCAGGACCTCCTTACTTTGGGCTTTTGCAGATAAACTGTGCCCCTATAATCAAAGCCATCCTTCCTGCTCTGGGGGAACCCAGCCACACCCTGACTTGTCACAGCTCAAAAGTCTACCCTTCCTTCACCCATTCTTCTTCTACACCCTCCTTCATTACTGGATTAACCCTTTCATCTCCTCCAGGAAGCAGAGGAGGTTAATGTTAATGACTTGATTTCCCTCTCCAGCCCTCCCTGCATCTCCACCTCACTACCCTACACTCCCAAATCCCTCTCCAGCAGAGAAGGAAGAACAGGCTGCCAGTTAAGGCCAGAGGAGAACATCTTTGGGTTGAAGGCTCCAGAGAATTGGCTTCTCTTCCCAGCTTCATCACCCTGTCTGCTTTGTGATCACTAAATCTTAACAACATCATTTGAGAAAGAGCCAGGATCATCCCAGCATCCTGCTGCCACCAATATATTGCAGAGCATCTGTGAAGCAACATTTTCACGGGAGCCCAGGACTGCTGGGGACAAGATCAAGCATGAGAGAGGCAGGATGGGCGACCCAGGATTGGGAAGACAGAGGGTTAAATTGCAACTATTTTACTAGTGGGAAAGCTCCTGTCTGGTCATGGGGGACTCTCCTCAAAGCTGTCACCTTAGAGATCAACCAAAGAGCTTGTACGCATATATGCATGACCCATGGACACAG